AACAGGAGACATCATCATCATCAACACCAACTTTTCCAAAATCATCGTCATCATCACCAGAGTTGAGAAAATCATAACATCGCTATAACTTATTCATCATCATCATCACATCATCATCATCATCATTATCGGCACTATCACATTTCATCATCATCGTCGTCGTCGTCATCATCATCATCAAGCAGGCGTGGCACTAACAAACAGCAAACTTTTTAGTCCTCTTCACTCTTTTTAATATCAACTCTAACAGTAAGTCTGAAGAAGATGATGGTGGTGATGATGATGGTGGTGATGATGATGATGATGATGGGGGCGATAAAGATAATGACGATGGTAATGATGATGGTGATGACGATGGTAATGATGATGGTGATAATGAGGAGGAGGAGGAATTTTGTGAAGTAACATTTGTTGATAATGTAGAAAGCGCTAGCGGTGACGAGGGTACATGCTTGGACAAATTTGATGATGATGACGAAAAATATGATGATGATGATGATGATGAAAAGGATGAGGAGGATGAGGATGCTAAGGAAAACGACAGCAGAAATGATGTTTTATTTGTTATGCTGCTTATTAAAATATATGTCGCCGATGTTGTTGTTGGTCTAGTTGACGAGAAGGACTGATAGGAAGAGGAAGAAACATTTGATAAGAACAACGATTTAATTGTCGATGATGATGATGGTGACGGGGATGACGATAATGATGATGATGCTGTTGCTATTGTTGATATAATTGTTGATGTTGTTGATAGTGTTGCTGATGTAGTTGTTGATGATTTTAAATTCCGCCAGAACATTGAACCCTGCGCCAAGTATGAGCCTGGTGAGCTTGCGAGTGCAACTGTGTGGTGTGGTGTGGTGTGGGGTGCCAGTATTTTATTTGCTGACTGCTAACTACCGCAATTTGTTTTTTGTGTAACGTTTGAAGATTTATTACAAATAATAATAATAACAACAACAAATAATAATATTATTATTATTAACATGTCTAATAAAAAATGTATATTAAACTTTACAGTATGGGCGGTGAGATAGAGTAGTGGTTGAAGCTCCTGGTCCTACTGCTCTAGTGACTGGATTCGAATGCAAATGTCCCGCTTTTCAGCTAAGGATTCTCGCCTATTTACATGCGGAGCGTGTATGCCGCAGCAGAGAATTAATTTAAAAATTAACAATCAGACTTGTTGATAATATGTAATAGGGTTTCAGAAAGTTAAGAATAAAGCGTAATATATGGAAAAATTTGTAGCTGAAATGATATAAAGTAATTATTTTTAATTATTTTTTAAAAACCTCTGGTGGAATTGTCGCTGGAAGGATGGTTGGAAAAGTTTTGCTGGCGGTTGAAGCATGTTGCTGATGTTGATAGTGATGGCCCCAATGTTGCAAATATTAAAGTCATCATGCCATGGAGACTCATCATTCAATAAGCACGTTAGTACAATGAAACTATCAATTTGCTAAACTGAACAACTGCTGATATAAAAACTTCATATAAAACTTCATATAAAAAACCGAACATTTTTTATCAATTGCACGTATCATGAAATTAATATCCTCTACTTCTACTACTTCTTTAAATGCTGTCGAGTTATTTTTTCATTTAAATAGTTTTGCGAATTAGTTAACCACGTTTTTACGTGTTTCGTTTGAATAGAATTACATATTCAATGAAGAAAAAGTGTTTTGTTGATGTGCATATGCTGAGTGCTGATTGTTGATTGTTTACGTTTGCGCGTAACATACATTGAATGATCGCATTTTCATTGTTCGCGAAATATTGGAAAAACATCCGATATAACAACAGCATGCAGAACATCCGATGCAGCTGCTCAGTATGTTGTTTGTTGCCATCAAACTTTGATGATCAAAGTCACGTAGGAATTGAAAGAACTGAACAAGCTGACAGCGCAGCAGCTGCATTAGCCACTCATTCTCAATTTCCAACATACCACTACTATCGATATCGAGCAGTTCGTAAAACACTACAACACCAAATAATGTCAAATACCTTCATTGGAATGAATAGGAACAACTTCATCCATTTATTTGACAAAACAACGACGGACGGCAACAACATTTGTAGCAAACAGATAAGAACCAGAAGGCATTAAAAAATTAAGTGGCGGAAAGATAACCGATAACCGTTTGAAATACGGAGAACATTTTAGTCATGAAAAAACATTTAAGACATGAAAGGACATTTGAGTTCAGGAAAAACATTTAGAATTATGGTTACATTTCAAGCAATACAGAACTTAAAAACCGATTAATAAAATCCCTCTTTAGCACCATTCATCTTCAGATTTGGAATAACTAGAATAAATAACCAACTCAATTACAGTCGGATCTCCGTACAACAAAGTTGATGGTTCCAAGAAAAATTTTGCTACATAGAAATTTTGTTATATAAGTTTGTTTAAAAAAATTCTATATACCTTATAAGGTATTTGTATGCTACAAACCTATAAAAAAACAAACTTATAGCCATTACTTTTTATAACAAAAAGTATAATTGTATAATATATAGTGTTATTGCAAAAAATATGAAAAAAAAAACGTAATGATATTTAGATATTAAAATATTATATATATGTACTCATATTATAGCAAAAGCATAATACGTAAGATAGTAATGTATAAAAGTAACTTAACAGTTTACCAGTTTACTGCGTATGTTCAAAAATTATATTTTTTTAATTTTGTTAGATATTTCTTTTAACATTTATAAATTTTGATCGTTATAGAGAAATTGTTTTCTTTCTATAGAGGCAGTTTTACTTGTAAAATTCGAAGAAACAAGGAAACAGAAAATTTGTTATATAGAGATTTTCGTTGTATAGAAGTTCGTTAGAAAGTCTAACTGTAGTTTTTCATCAGATAATTTATGTTTGCTTGTTTGTAGGTGTGTGTGTGGCATGTGCGTGTGTGTGTGGTGTGTGTGTGTGTGTGTGTGTGTCAATGGCCAGAAAACATATGGCTTTATTTTTCTTTACGTTACACGACTGTACCATCTATGCTTATAGGTCTTTGTTATGGTTTACATAACATTTCGTTTTTGTTGTTTTAAATAGTTGCGGCTGGCTTGTGTCCTGAACTGATTTCCAGTGAGTTGTTGCTCTCGTTAGGTTGGCATCGTTCCTACAAATGTTTGTCATCAGTTGCTTGCCTGCTTTTGACTTTAATGTATTATTTGAGTGCATTGATTCCCGGCTCCAATGAATTGAAAAAATGAGTAAAAATGGAAATGTCAAATAATTAATAATTTCCTCCATCATCACCGCTGTTCGCTCGCTATTTGGAATTTGTCTGCAGATACGGCGGAGTGTGTATTCAGCGAGGGAGGCAGGCGTTTGAATGTAGAGTCAAACAAATTGCTTTAATTAAAAAATTCTCTTATTCAGTGGCTCTTGTTGAAATTTTAGATTGATTGTGCATTTTTTAACTTTTACTTTTTATTTATCACTTTCTTGATTATTTTACATTTTTAATTTATTTTTATTAATAAATATTTAAATAATGATCTTATTTAATTCACTATCTTTTAGGCATTTATGAATCTCTATTGTATTGTTACAAACAAAAAAATAAAATAAATAAAATCTTGAAAACTTGTTGAGTTAGTTTAAAACTGATTGAAACACTATTTTTTTCATTTCAGAGTTACTCATCATAAAAGCACGACTTTCATTTTGACTGATTGATAAATTAACATAATGCATTTGTATGCGTAGATGATGACCGAAAGTTTAATTAGTAAACCCACCAAAACCAAAGGTGATTTATTTTTTTTCAAAAATTTGATTATTAAATTAAATAATTTTAAATAGTGAAACAGTGGCGCCATTATAATATGATTTTTACTGTTCTGTATTGAGTTGATGAGACATGAAATTTATAAATAAACCCAAACTTAAAAAAAAACAAACAAACTGACAAACTATATATTGGATGGACTAAAATGTTTCTTTTAAAACATTTTATGGTCTTTTTTACTTAGCTTGTGGCATTGATAAAATCAAAATGCCTTTTATAATATTATAATTCTTGATGCAGAGGGTTTGTTGCGGTTTCACCTGGTCAAGATTGCGTTGTGCAGGCTGAATGATTATAAAACTAGCAGTAATAAGGACCTTACCTTTATAAGTCTCTTTGAAGATGACTAGCTAGGCGACGGTGTCTGGCGCTGCTGTTGCAAAGAGATCCCCACCCATCATGTGCAATGTGTGTGATGCACTGTCTCACATGTATTTACATGCACCGTGAATTTCTTGCTGATGTCTGAAGAATGTTGAAGAGAGAATGGTAGTAGTTATAATAATAACTCAGTAGATGTGCCAGATGAAAATCTACAACACACTACAATGCAGTGTGTTTTTCGCTTGCAGAGTTCATCCAATGATTTTGTTTCCGTAAATTTTTTTCATGGAGTTAAATATCTCTTGAAATCATCTAGAATTTTTGGCTTTTAGCTGTTCACGGGTATCATAGTTATCATTTCATAATAAAACTACTTTTTTATCATTCACTGAAGCACTTCAGATCTCTGACTGCCAGCATGTACTGTTGAGATTTCTTAAAATATCTTCTCATGAATCATCGCTAGAATGGAAATTATCATATCTGTGTGTGGTGGGTGAATGGCATCTGCTTCACCATTTTATCACCAACGTCATCTCATCAAAAGCATATTCTCTACTTTCCAAATGCTTGCAGTTCTGGAATATTTTTCTCAAGAGAAAATAAAAATAATTAATTCTTCTACGCCAGAACACCTTCTTTTTTGCAAAAATTAATAAACTTCAAGTTGTCAAATATTTTTTATGGGAAGTACACCATATTTTAAATTATTTTCCAATTTTTTGAAATCAACCTTTTTTGAAGTTTCTTGTTTTTTGCCCTGACGTGTCGGTCTGATGCAATAGCATTATGTTGGGTTCAACTGCAACCTAGCCATCAATCACATTGACCCCATGCTCACTTCCTCACTCATTCATGCACCCATCCCTTGTGGCTTTTGCTTTTTCATCCTCACAAACTCCCGAAACTTCATCACACCACGTCCCGAAAACTTCATCACACCACGTCATCTCAGGTCACCCATTCAGAACTACTGCATTACATTTTAATCATTTTTAGTATAATTAAGAAATCATCATCCCATAAGTAAGTACAAGTACACGAGTGGGTGGGATGTATTGAGGAACTGGCCAACATAGCAGATATGATCCTGGACCTGTCATTACTCAATATGACCATCATTCATTTTCTTTATTTATTTCTGACTAATTTGTCTAATAATTTTTTAAATTTTGAGGTTTTAAGTTTTTTGTTTAATTCATTTGATTTTATTTTACGCAGTATTCATGTAAACTCTTCAAGTACGTGCTTTGAGTTTATCAGAGTAGGATTTTTAAATGACTTGAAAATGAATGAATGTAAGTAAGAAATGATGAATTTGTACTTGAAGTGTTCTGCGAGTCGGACCTGACCTGCACGGCCTGTCACAGAGACATTGATGTCAAGAAGACTGGCTCCTTGCATGGCCACCCTGTCCTCAATGTCCTCATCTGCAGGGTCGGTGGCTGGCGCGGGTGTTGCTGCTGAGATTTACTGCTGAGATGATGGTGATGGTGGTGGTGTTTGTTATTTGATGATGTGGAGGATTAAATTAACTACTGGTAATGTTGTTAATTTTGGTCTTAATCATGTCTATTGCAATGATGGGAAAGATGCTGCTGTTAATGGTGATGATGGTGGCGATGATGATGGTGGTGATGATAATGGTACCAACAACAGACTGATGAATGGTGATATTGGCAATAGAATTATTGATCATATGATGATAAAATGTTGATGATAAAAACTCTGATGATGATTTTAAAAAGAGACATTAAAAAGTGGTTAATGCACCGGAACTATACAGAAATGTTTCAAGTGGTATACAAGTGGTGACATAGAGAAGGGTGAAGACGGCGTGGACCTGCAGTGTCGATGGTGCGGTGACGGGGGGGACTTGTTCTGCTGTAACACTTGCACCAACGTCTTTTGCAAGGACTGCATTAAAACTAATTTGGGGCTGTCGGAACTTCGTAGGGTCGAATTGAGTGGTACGATTTCCATCTCTTTATTTCTAGTTATGCGTTTTATTACTATTTGTTATCATTACCATTATTTATTGATAATTTTATATTACTATTGCTGTTTCGCACTATTCACTTTATTTTTTCATCATTTTTACTTGATTACCTGCATTTATATTTCGAGAGGTGTCAATATTCATAATATTCATTACTTTATTTCTTCAGTATGTTAATATCTTTACAATGAACTTGATTCACTTAGAAATACTAGGCCTCAATTTTTGCATCACATTCCTTATTTCTATTTCTCCAAACCTAGGTCTAATTTTTTTCTCAACTCAGCTACTTTATCTACTTCTGCGCATCTTTGGAATACTTTGCCTGAAAGTCTGAAGAACTGCCCTACTTGTGGTCTCTTCAAAACACCTTTTAATCGGCTCCTTTCGTCTAATCATTTCACCCTTCATTGGTTGTCTTCTCCTACTTATTCACCTACCTTTTGGCAAATATTTCTGTTAGATTTTATTTATGTTTTCTTTATTTTGAATTTGAGTTTCATTTGTTTTTTGTCTAACTACATTTTGTTGTGCAATGGTAGTAAAGATGATGAGCACATGCGTTGGTATCTTGATCTCCTGGGCTTTTTGCCAAATAAAATATGTGTGTGAGTGAGTGTGTGTTTGCGTATATGTGATGAATATATTAATTATATTACATGTAAATATATTATATGTATATTTATTTTTACGTATGCATGCGTGCAATAAATGAGTGCATATAATCTTCTCCAACAAGACAAATGGATGTGCTACAGTTGTGACAACACTCCTCTGACATCACTGACCAACAAATACATGGAGATCGTGAATGCCCGCCAGAAGAATTATGACATCGTCGTCAAGGATGACGTCGAAAGATCAAATGATGAGGAGGAGGAGGAAGTTGCAGTACCTCTCAGTAACCTGAATGTTCCATCCTTGTTCGAATGGTCATCCCTCAAACTCAACTTACAGGATGACTCCAGTGTTGAAGATAAGATGAAATATCTTGAAGACAGTCTGACCACACTGCTTCCCATCTCCAGAACGTTATCAAATTCTCTTTCTTATGCTTTACTTCAGCTTAAAAAGGTTGACCCCACCAGCCAAGCAAAATGCACCAGCAAGTTGCACGAGATATCCAACAAAGTCAACTCCAACCTTTCCACACTCCTACAGAACTTTCAAGTGGTGAACAAAGTTGAAACGACGTACGCTAACAACAAGACCAGAAACAACAACAACAGTGATAAAAGTCATAAAAAACAGAAAAGTGTACAAATCATGAAACAGGAGAGACCTGAGAAAACTTTGGATGTTAAATCTGCAACAGCAGCAGCAATGATAAGATCGAATGATTCAACGAGTCCCAGGATCAAACTGACCATCTCGAAGAAGTCCATCACATCTGCAAGCAACGAACTGATTGGCGACTCTTATGGTTGCTCGCTCTATGATAAGGAGGAGGAGCCAATGAATGAAGGGGAAGGAGTCTAAAAATGTTAATATTCATAACCATGGTCAAGAAAT